TTTCAGCTAACCTTTAATGGATTTAAAAAAAAAAAAGATGACAGTGAATGACCTTTTTGCAATGCTTCGGGCGTGATGGATATATAGGGTTATAATAAATTTTATAGACAGATCAGCAGTAGGTGGGGAATATGGTCAACATCATGCAGGCTGCCTTTACTTCCTAGGAATGTACCTTGTACCCATGTAAGGTTAAGTCGAGCTGGGAGCCAATGTCTTTTCTGAATGGGGGGAAAACGGGGGGGGGGGGGTTAGGGGGTTGGTTACATCAGGACCTGATCTCACGACCTTCCGATCCGCATTCGAGCGTCTTGCCGCTACACTACGGGTGCTCACAAACGTTATTGTAGGTGAATTCCCCCCCCCCCCCCCTCCATTTTCCTTTTGCGGGATAACATTGTGTTGGATTACCACCCCACGCAAAAGAATCAAACAGGTAGATAAGAAATCCCGCTCAGTTGAACTATAGCTTTACTAGGGTACCAAAGGTTACAAAAACACGATTTCCGGGCTGGGATATGTAAACTGCTTTTTACGACGTTTGTTAAGGACATGTAGCTATGTACACCCCTCCCCCTCCCCCCCCCCCCCGCCCCCCAAACAAAGGGCCGAAAAATCCACAAGGAGAATGTAATATTGTAATCAATTTTTTATGAGTTAACATGCATGTTTATATATAAATAATATATATATATATATATATATATATATATATATATATATATATATACACCACACACACATATACATATATGTATATGTGTGTGTGTGTGTGTGTGTGTGTACTTAAAGAAATCAGAATGTAATGATCTTACCGTTGTAGAGAAATAGTCACACCGCGCTGTATTTTTGAAGGCGTTTGCTTCTGAAAATGACTGCGCACACTGGTTTATTTCCAAGAGGTTTAAAGGTACATCCACCGTGGTAACGCCCCTGGAGTGTGTAACAATAAGGTGAAATAAACTTCAGACATACATTGTATTTGCTTTTTACTATGTGGTCATATTTTCAAATAGAACCAAAAATGTATCATTCAATGTATAGGAAATTATAAAGTTTTCTTCTGGATATGCTGGCCAGGTGAGGAATGAATAGGCAGACAGATTGGCTGGATCTGCACCACTGGTTGGTGAACTAAAACATGAAAAGCCAGGTCTGGTCAACGCCCTTTGGTGACAAGAAGCCAAGTCAGAGGAGAAACTAGATTATTATTCCCTGAAGAGAATAATGCCCCTGGGTGTGACCAGAGGGTCGGGCAGGATCACTACACTCAGAAAAAAAGACAAGATGGACATTGAATCAGACTAAGACCGGTACCATTAGTACTGGAACTCTGCGCTGACTGCTAAAGATTGAGACGGAGCGCGTATGGGAATTCCCTGAGCGCTGTGATGTAAGTTCTTTACTCAACTCAACTTGAAGCCGTCGTATCAGTCAGGTAAACCATTTTAACCGTATTTATTGAGAATCAGATATTGAGAGAAAATATGTAGAGATAGCAGAACACACTAGACAACATCAGAATCGAAATGAATTATAATCATACCCGGACATAAATGTCAGTCGAAACGACAACAGCGCATCGCTAAAAGAAAAAAAAAATTAGGATACTTTAACAGATGGATAACCCGACACTCTTAACAAAGATATCAAAATTAGCAAATCTAATCACATGTGGCCGTAAGTACAGGGTGTGTCCAGAAGACGCTGTAGAATCGGAAATTCAGCTACTGATTTCCAGTCAATTTCAGCCCAGGTGATGTGACCAAGAGCGGCTCGAGCTGGACCTGGTCTTCATGTGATCATCTATATAGATGGCACTGTGTCGAGAGGCAGGAGAATGCATGGGATTCGTTGCAAACCTTAGCGCAAATGTCTTTTATTCATGCTTTCTGACCTTTCACTCGCGCTAGTCTATGTTACAGGGGTGGCACGTAGCGCAGTCTTCGACGCTCTCACCGGCGATGACGCGTATACTATACTACACGATGTGGCTGCTTTGAAAGACCCCAGAACGTCTAGAAGTGGCCCTGACCCCAACCACCCTACCCAATAGCCTCAGTCTATGTCCCACGAACGAGTGCAGGCTACGTCCCGTGTCAGGTTGTATTGTTTTCGATGATATCATCGTCGATAGCTCGTGCTCTGTGTTACACAATCCGACCGCTTTTAACGACCCCACAACATCTACAACTGATTCTAACTCCAAACCCCTTACACCAAAGTCTCAGCCGGCGTCCCACGAGACAGTCCCATGGTTTCAGAATTGGTAACATTTTCCGGTGAGCCCTAAAAATCCCGCCTTGCTGCAGAAAAGCAACGTTGTTCTCCTCGTCTCCAGTCAACGAGGACAGCAGAACTAAATTTAGATCGTACTTGAACTCCGTAACATACGCAGTGCTGCCGTCCGCTCATAACAAGGAGTAAAACACAACCTCTAGCTCGCCGCCTATGCGACGCACAATATAGAAAGCTCTTCGCGAAGACAACACAACCTGACACCCTGCTATTACAGACCAGCCCATGTGCCAAGTGAAGACGCAGGAAAGAGAGGCCAATTACGCTCTGTCTGGGCCGGAAAACGTAAAATGTTCCTGAGCATCTATGAGAATGTCCTCTATGCTAAGACGTCGATTCAGCAATCAGTAAATCAGTACCTGCAATGTGACATATTATACCAGACAGACAGACAGACAGACAGACAGACAGACAGACAGACAGACAGACAGACAGACAGACAGACAGACAGACAGACAGACAGACAGACAGACAGACAGACAGACAGACAGACAGACAGACAGACAGACAGACAGACAGACAGACAGACAGACAGACAGTAAATCAGTACCTGCAATATGACATATTAAACCATGTAGGCCAATCTACAGTTCCCTTCTAAACAAATCCAGATATTGCCACTATTGTAATGATTTAGCGGCATCCTTAGCTTAGGCGTTGCGAGTCAAACTCGTAATTCCAACGTACCGCGTTTGAAACCCACAGCTGGCTACGTGGATTTTTATCGTGGTATGGAGCGTCGCTGGTCGACCCAGCCTAAAATGGGTACCAGGATGTATGTCCTGGGGAAGTAAAGACGGCCGGCGTAATGCTGACCGCATTACTCACCTAGTGCCGATTGTTCTCTAGACATATGGATGCTCTTCCCATATGCACAATGCGTCTAAAGGCGTGAAAAGGGATCTTTACATTTTTACTTTTAGTATTGATTTATTATTATTAATATTATTATTATTATTATTATTATTATTATTATTATTATTTAAACTATTCTACTACCTGAATTCTAATCGTTTCCTGAGACGGTCCATGCCAAAGAATGGACTCACATAAGTCATAACCCAGGTGTCCACGTTTCCATCGCACCTAAAGTGAGGTTTGGTCCAGAAACCTTGTTCGTAGGACGCAGCTCGGTAAGTTAATGGGTAGTATTCGTGGCGTACTGAGCTGGTGCCGTTAGGGTCGGATCTGCAATAACACAAGCAGATAAAGAAGTAAATTTACGGAGTAATAGATTTCAGATTTGGAAGGTGGGGGAATGGAATGGGCAATAACATATAAGTACGTGAAGAAAAGGAAGTAGAGGAGCAAGAAAAAGAAAGAAAGAAAGAAAGAAGAAAGAAAGAAAAGAAAGAAAGAAAGAAAGAAAGAAAGAAGAAAGAAAGAAAGAAAGAAAGAAAGAAAGAAAGAAAGAAAGAAAGAAAGAAAGAAAGAAAGAAAGAAAAAGAAAGAAAAGAAAGAAAGAAAGAAAAGAAAGAAAGAAAGAAAGAAAGAAAGAAAAGAAAGAAAGAAAGAAAGAAAGAAAGAAAAAGAAAGAAAGAAGAAAGAAAGAAAGAAAGAAAGAAAGAAAGAAAGAAAAAGAAAGAAAGAAAGAAAGAAAGAAAGAAAGAAAGAAAGAAAGAAAGAAAGAAAGAAAGAAAGAAAGAAAGAAAGAAAGAAAGAAAGAAAGAAAGAAAGAAAGAAAGAAAGAAAGAAAGAAAGAAAGAAAGAAAGAAAGAAAGAAAGAAAGAAAGAAAGAAAAAAAAAAAAAAAAAAAAAGATATAACTGACAAGGATGTGTTTAGATTCTAAAATCCCAAACGGCTCACTGACCTTATATGTGCACGTATCTTGTACTGTTTGACATTCTGGAAGTTTGCCATGAACCTAGCCTTTGATCGGATGAACCAGTCCTCAGTGACATAACGGGATTTTAGTCCAGCGGCATCAAGAGCAAAGAATGACCCACTCTTCCGGAAAGCCCATGGACCAAAAAGCTCTCTTCTGGTTCCATCCTGATTTTCGAATTTGTATCTAAATTTAAAAAAAAAAAATTGAACAAGCTAAACTCAGCATGAAGATATATACAATCAACTATTTTTCTTCTCGTGTATTCACCTCAAAATAGGCAGATGAGACATTGGATTGTAGTATACAAATGGGCTGTGGATTTTGAGTAAGAGATGATGCTATCAAACATATTCTTACCAAAAACACCGAGCTTATCAATTTGTGTAATGTAGTTTTTCGCTATTTGAAGCCCTACTCTGACACCTGCCAGGGGCCGCAATATAGCCCGGCCTTAAATATAGCGTAATGGCTGAACGCGGTTTCTGGGACCCCTCCACGGGTGATCCTTATCCGCATGGTGGGACTGTGTGTCATTGGGTGTTCACCGCTTGTGTGATGTCCTGGTGGGGTAAAAGAAGATAGAACACCGAGCTGAGTTCAAATCTGACATCATAGCACTCGCGGCTTTTTGATAAGTGCGTCGCTCGCAATTCTTACCAGCCTGAACAAAGTTCCAGATTGGGTGATTCATTATTATCATCAATTTCACTTTCTTCTGTTAAGCGACGTGGGGAGGAACAGTTTCTGATCCATTGCTTGATAGGCAACAATTAATATTGTCATTCCGTATCTATGTAGAAGCTCGTAAATGGCACATACACACGCATACAGAGACACACAAAAACACACACAGACGCACTTACAGACGCACACATAACACACATTCATACAAACAGATCCATACAGACACATACACACAAAGAGATACACAGCCATACAAACACACACAGACGAACATATACGCACAGACGCACATGTACACACACAGACACACGCACAGATACACACAGGCACACACAGACATACATAAGACATGACTGTATACTGACACACAAGAACACACCAACCCACACAGAGAGGGAGAGATACACACGGACATACACATATACACACACAAGAGAGAGGGAGAAATAGAGAGAGAGAGAGAGTGAAAGAGAGAGAGAGAGAGAGAGAGAGAGAGAGAGAGAGAGAGAGAGAGAGAGAGAGAGAGAGAGAGAGATTACAGTTCCTACAATCGCATATTCTCACCTGTCGAAAAATACCCCGGCTGAATATATTTTAAAATTGCCCATGACATTAGCGATAACTTCCCCATACATATGGTCAATCTGCAGCCGACCTCCTCCTCTTAGGTCTCCAAAGTTTTCCTCTGGCAAAACATTCTGATCAAAATAAAGATATTGAATGTACATATACTGATTGACATTTATAGAAGATAATGGAAAGACGTAGACTGCTAAAACCGCTCTTCTTCTTCTTCTTCTTTTTCTTCTCCTTCTTCTTCTTCTTCTTCTTCTTCTTCTTTTTCTGTTCCTCTACTTTCTACTTTTCGGTATCATAATATATATCCACATCAACAACCTATATTGTATCTGCCAGTGAGGCATCAACAGCCTTCCAACTCAGAGACGCAGTTAAATAAAGACACAAAGAGAGCCAACAGTGTCCATTAATACTACTATTAATCTTACTTCAACTACAGCTACGTCAACAGTAATGTATATATATATATATATATATATATATAAAAACATCTGTGCCGTCACCTCAAGAAAGTGTGGCTACGGTATGCCACTGGTGTCTTTAGGACTTCGTTGTGAGAATCCAGTCTCGTCCACAGCACAGCTCAAGTACCATTGTTCTAAAACCACAAAAACGTATTTCTTAACCGTCCATCACAGGAAATTAACTCCAGCACTCTAAGAACATGCAGTTGTTAACCAAACTTGAAAACCTCTACGCCACGGATTAGCACTCACCTGCAAATACACGGATAGAAAATGACTCAGCCTCAAGGCTGTCCTTCCTTCAGACTCGAACTGTGTCCATACCCCGTAAGTGACATCGCCTGGAAGATACAGTTGGTGGTTGGAAAGCTGCTTACAGTTGGATGCAGTCACGCTGGCCATTTTGCGGAAAATTCGCATCATTCTGAGGGATAGTGGTAGCACAAACAAGCCATCAGTCAGTTAAATCAGCGTGTCCATTTATGGATTTGATATATTTAAGAATTGCATAGGTAGTTCACAAATGATGTGTGTAGTCCATCTGTGCCGAAACCTGGAGTTTTTTTTTCCTCAAGGCCCCCCACCCCCCCCCCCCCACCGTTTTTTAGGGCTAGGGGAAGGGGGCGCTCAGTAGAGGGGGCACCTCAAGGTTGCGAACGCCCCCCCCCCCCGCCTTTTCCAGTCCCTACCCCATATTTCTGCGACTGCAATTAAAATAACGCTAACCGTTTTTACTCTCCATGACAAGTCCTGGTGATAACTAATTTTAGAATGGATCTACCTCAGCGCATAAGGACAAATTTACAAATCCGTTTCGAATCGGGTAATACCTCAAGAGATTCGTGCTGGTGCCCGAGAGTCTACTCATGAGACTACGGCGACTGTAGTCACCAGCATGAGACATGATAATGATGACGAAGCTTACAGTGATGAAGATTATGGCGTTGATTCGTCTTCTTCTTGTTCTTTCAACCTACTTCTTACGCAGTAAATCTTCCAAAGAGGAGTTCGATGTAGGTTCCTGCTGGTAACCTAGCGTGTGTTAAGGTTATACTGAGTTTCTGTTGTCTCTTTCACTCCCTCTGATCTGTCCATTCTTTGTGTGCTTCTTGATCTTCTTATTTGCGTTCTGTTTCGTATGCTCACATCAGACCATCTGGTGGGTTGTATCTATGAATCCGCATATCAGTAACAGGATACTCATGGTTCTCCGTAGTTTGCTATGCACACTTTGCTTTTGAGGCCAGGTGTCTTTTCAACGTTGTAGGTGGAGTGAGCATGTCTGCAGAATGTACTCAGGTGCGGTCGGCTACTTGAACTGTAGCCTGCTATTCTTATGTAGTACGCTCTAGCTGTTGGCTGGATGTGTTCCAATCTGACCAGATGACCAAACCATTCAACTATGTTATGTTCTATGGAATCATTCACCCTTGACGTTGTCAATACATTATACACAATATTGTTACAGAATAATTTGTAAGTCTTACCTATCGAATGACTGGTCATCAAACACAACCGCCCTTTTGAGCTTCATACTTCGTAGCCCACCTCGGTCGGTGAAATACCGTTCTATATGTCTTTCTCTGAGCTGATTAATACTTTCACGGAGAATCGAAGACGTCAGGGAACTGTTCTTCGCTTTTTTCAAAGTTGTCTTTAAATTGCTGTGTCTTTCTACGTCTTTCTGTTGCATTTGAAAAGAAAAAAACAACACTAATAATAAGGTGTGCTGTTGTTTGGTGAGCAATTAATAAAACAGTCAACATAAAGAAATTTCTCTTTTTTCTTCCTCCTCCTCTTCGACTTAAACCACTGTTAATTAACCGGCAAGCCCTGAAAGGTGACACATGAAAGGTAAATGAAATCGTTGCAACTTCAGGGAAAACGGGAAACCCCATTAATTACTCCCTTGCAGGTAAAACCCACACATAAAACCCATGGCTGTCCCTTGTGAACATAACCATGACACGTGACCCGTTAGGGTCGTTGAGGTGTATCGATGGCACCACTAACACACAAAACCCACCATCTTTCTCTGTCTTCCGCTTGTTGAACAAGTGTATGGTAATTTAGTTCTATCCATTTCTTGATGTTGTCATTTCTTTGCCCTTCTCTTTTTCGACTTCCTACCCCACCCTCAATGCTTCTTGAAGTGCAGACTTTACAATCGAATATTCTCTAGCCACGTGTCCGAACCAAGCTAGTTTGCGACCTTTCGCCACTGCCAAGAGAGGCTCCTGATGTCCTACAAATTAAAGCGAAAATACTGCAGTGGCACAATACCTCACCCAGTACCCATGGTATGTTAAAAATAGTTGAGAGATTTACAACTGTAAAGTAATATTTATCACACAAGATAAAATCTCTAACAATGAATGGTGTACCTGGTAGACCATCTTTATAGTAAGGTAATATTAATTTAAATAAGATAATTTATAAAGAGTTGAGTTGAGCTGAGTTGAGTTGAGTCAGGAATTGACATCACAGCACTCAGGTTATTCCCATGCATGCTCCGTCCTCATCTTCAGCAGCCAGCGCAGAGTTTCAATACTGATGGTACCGGTCACAATCTGGTTAAAAGCCCCTTTTGCCTTTCCCCTGAGTGTAGTGAGCCGGCGAGACCCGCTGGTCACACCCAGGTGCCTCATTCTCTCCCGGCCATAATAATCTTCTTTCTCTACTTATTCCGTTGCTTGTTCCCAAAGAGCCTTGACCACATCTGCCGTGTCATGTGTCAATTCACCACCCAGTGGTGCGGATCCAGCCAGTCTGTCTGCCTGTTCATTACCTACAACGCCGGCATAGCCTGGAGAAAAGATGCAAAGTATGCTCATCACCTGTGACCTTTTCAGTGAAACTAGCCACTCGACATCCCTGTCTTCACCTTTTTCAGCATGCTTTCAGAGTTTGTTACAATTACGAATTTATACAAAGTGAATGGGTTTAGTTGGTTGACTATCTTTATAGTAAAGAAATGTGTAACATGAAATTACATAAATTGATGTCTACAGATTGAAGTGTCTAGTTGGTAGACTAACTTTATAGTAAGGTATGCTTAGGCGTTGCGAGTCCGACTCGTAATCCAACGTACCGCGATCGAAACCCACTGCTGGCTGCGTGGATTTTTAATCATGGCACGGGGCGTCGCAGGTCGACCCAGCCTAACATGGGTACCAGGATGGGCTGTCCTGAGAAAGTAAAGACAGCCGGCGTAATGCTGACCACATTACCCACCGAGTGCTGATGGTCTGTTAAAATATGGGCGCTCTTCCCATATGCGCCGAAAGGCGGGAAAGGGATCTTTACTTTGCTTTTACTATAAATCTAATGGCGTAATGCTGACCACAATACCCACAGAGTGCTGATGGTCTGTAAAAATATGGGACGCTCTGCCCATATGCCCGATGCGCCGAAAGGCGTGAAAAGGGAACTTTACTTTTTTTTAAAATACATCTAATACATGAGAAAGTATCGACAGAGAGAATGGTTTTACTTGGTACAACAGCTCCACGTCTACAGAAACTGGTTTCTGTCGTTCTTCAAATTTGTCTACTTCGTCCATGATACTGAATGAGACTACGCCGTCTCTAAAATGTAGAGTCTTTTCGTCTTGTTTTGTTTCCTGTAAGGGTATAAAGCACATTATGAGAGAGGTAGGGGTAGTTTAAAGAGGAAGGGGGGGGGGTTAGGGAGAGATAGGGGAGTTAGGGAGAGAAAGGGGGAGTTAGACAGAAATAGGGACGGGTAGTGAGAGATTAGCGAGAGGTAGCGAGAGGTAGAGGGAGATAGGGGGAGATAGGGAGAGACGTTTACATTTGGAAGATTTGACAGGATCGACTCAAGTCCATACCCGCTGAATAGGCTATACCTGGCCGGTATAGCCCTATTTATAACTTCTTTGGAGCTAGAACGGGATATCAAGGATCTAGTTTGTTAATCTACCATCCTGACTGGGAATTGAACAGGTATCCCGGGATGGTGTGGTAAAACGTTGTGTATCAGCCTGGAGGGGACAAACTAATCAATCGATTGGATGGACTCCATCGCAACGAATGTTATCCCATATGCTTAGATTTCTGATCACGAAACTGGTAGTCTCCTGCCAAGTAGGTAGAAAAGAGCAAAAACTCCGAAGCTTCATCGACAATTTCCAGTGATCTCTATGAGAATGGAAATCGCGAACAAAACGATGTACTTTGTGGAAGAAAAAAAAGAACCCCGACCTTCGGAACGTAGGTTAAACGGTTTAACCTTTTGGCCACGGAGGCCTTTCTTTCGCTCGCATTCTCTGTCTGTTGTTTCCAGCCATGAAGGATGGTATGAATGAATGTATCTTCTTCTTTTTCTTCTTCTTTTGTAGGCTTGAAATAGATTATCGATATCTGCAATGTTGTCTGTGGTTTGAACTTGACTGTCTTTTGTAATTCACTCAGAGACCCAACATTTTGGCTTGCACCGGTGTTTATATTTGCCAAAATCATTGCCTCGATGTGCTGTTTTTGGGACAGCCTTAAATGACATGATCTGTTGTCTTAGATGCCAATCCACATGTAGACATGGCTGATTGGGTAATCTTAAATTGTGTGTACACGTGGCTGCGAAGTCGATTGTATCATGTTTTAAGCGTAAAATAATAACTTGCTCAGGTCTGTTCATAACATTGTTATCCTCTTGTGTCGGTTTTGGTGGCATTTTGATTGATTTGATAATTCTCTTCTTCTGTTGATAAAAGACTATTACGTCAGGTTTTTCGTCATCTGCACCACACTTAGCTAGTTTATCAGCTATCTCTGCCCGGCTCTCTAGCGTAGTTGGCTCAACCGGATTGCGCGGAGACCGGGTGACGAACTCCTTGTGGTCCGGGTTCAATACCGGGGGTAGGCAGGAAAGCCACATTTTCTAACAGATTTACGGTATTTACAATGGAATCACGGCCGAAAGGTTGCGATATCCATAATACCGAGCCTAAGGGTTAACAACTCATGGCTTCTGGATACTAAAACAAACAAACATCAGCTCTCTCATTTACAAGAACTAAACTGTGGGATGGTATCCATTTCATGGTTACATTTCACCTGTTGCCTAGTTGGAGAGCAGTGTCCGTAAACCAGGTAGTTTTCCGGATTCGAGTGCCTGAAGTGTATGAAAGAATCAAGAATTAACCTCCCTGCACTAGGTCATTTCCACACGTGCTTTGCCCCCTTCTTTAGTAGCCAACGAAAAGTCGACATACTAAAAGTAACGTCGGGAAGATCGACTTCTTTACATCTGGTTTGATCACATATGGCTAGGTCTCTCTCCACAGAACGGATAACTGCCGGTTGAGAACACCAACTCCGTAGCTCCGGCCTCAATATAACTGTTCTGTGTGGCTTTACAGTTGAACATGGTTTGCAGGATTTGTACTGGTTCGATTCTCATCCGTGAAACCCTAATCCTACAGACTGAGGTTTTGAAAGAGAAAAAAACTAAGCTTACGTTACTTATCATCATCATCAAATGTCATGAAAAAGTAGTTTCCTAACCCTGAGCTGTCTCAGATTTTCGAAAATGTGCATCATTTTTTCAACGGAGACGTCCTCTGTGTTTCCCTGGAAAGCCTTGTCAGTATTTCCTATGTCTGGCTGTTGTGATGACCAGTTGCCCTCCAGCTTGCCTGTGTTACCAGCTAGGAGGTTTTCAACATGTAATATAAATGTCAATATATAAAACGTATTTTCATAATTTTCGAAATATCTGCAGGGCAATTTATTTAGACTTCTTCTTCTTGTTCACCAGCTGTAAATTCCGGCGTAAAGTTCTGGGCGTTCACCCACTTATGGACATTAGTTCTTTTCCAGAACCAAAGTGTTACGTGTACATCCATTTTACAGATCTGACTTATGTGTTTGCAGACTGTTGGTTCCTCGTCTCTTAGGCAGATGTACTTGGACTTAAGAAGGAAGCTCCCTTCGACGCTTACGACATGCTTTTGAGTAGGCAGTGAGATTATTCTTGCTTCCCCCACAATGGCGCTCCGGAAACCACAACGGAATCTTGTTTAATGAAAGCATAACCCACTTCGATTGATCGATCGATCAGTTTGTTTTCTTTGAGATGCTACAGAGATTTTAAAGGAAATTTTAGTCTGGAAGGTAGAATAATAACAGATATCCTAGATACCAGGTTTGCGGCGTCCGTGGCTAAGGCGTTGCGAGTCTGACTCGTAATCCAACGTACCGCGATTGAAACCTGCGTTGGCTCCGTGGATTTTTATCGTGGTATGGGGACGTCGCAGGTCGACCCAGCCTCAAATGGGTACCAGGATGTGCTGTCCTGGGAAAGTAAAGACGGCCGGCGTAATGCTGACCACATTACCCACCGAGTGCCGATTGGTCTGTAAAATATGGGACGCTCTTCCCATATGCCCGATGCGCCTAGGGCTTGTAAAGGGATCTTTACTTTTACTTTACTTAGATACCAGGTTCATTCTCCAAGCAAAATATAATTAGTTCACCCGTAACGTCTACATCACAGTAACAATAATATATATTTATTATAGATACCAGGTTTGAGAGTCGCCATGGCGTAGCGGTTAGACGCTCGCCTGCGTATTGGAAGATAGTTTGTTCGCTCCCTGGCGGAGCCGGACCATTTTTCAAAAATTACCTTGGCACCCAAGTCGACCCAGCCCTAAGTGAGTACCGGGTGCTATCCTGGGAAGTAAAGGCGACCGGTGTGATGCTGACCACATCACCGAACTTGTGCCGTTGGTCTATAAAATAAAGGTCTAGCCCTATGTATCCAATAGGCCTGAAAGGCGTGGAAAAGGGTCCTTTACTTTTACTTACCTTATATACCAGGTTCAATTTAAAACGAAGTTATAATTAGTGCACCCGTAACGGCTATATCACAATATCATTAACATACATCCTATATACGAGATTCAGTCTCCAAGGAAGCTATAATAACTGCACTCGTATAACGGCTACATCATAAAAACATTAAAATATATCTTATATCATTATCATCATGTGCCCTGCCAATTGGCGTAGGCCCGCGTGTATCCTCACAGATCACGATCCCTGGTTGCCTGGAACAGCTCTCTTGACGATATCCGCCTATGCCATTGTTTTACCCCATCTAGCATCATCTCTCTGTGTGTCTTTACCCCTCTTTCCTCTGATCTTTCCAGTTATTACAATGTTTTCTAATGCCTCTCTTTTCATTACTTAGTCAAAGAACAGTGTTTGTCTCTTTCTCATTTGTGTATATAGAGATCTACTTTCATTAGTTTCTTTTTAACAATCATTATTAGTTACTTTGGTCGTCCAAGGTATTCGTAACATACGTCTCAGAAACCATACGTCTGTTGCTTTCATATTCTTCTTAATTTGTTCAGTGACATTCCAAGATTCGCTACCATACTGCAGATCAGGTACTATTTAACACTTTAGCACTCTCTTTCTAACGCAAAATGAAAACGACTTATATAAATATCAACCAGGTTCAATCTTTAAAAGAGCTATAATTAGTGCACCCGTATAAAGGCTTCATTACATTTAAAATAACCTATATCCAGGATACCAGACTCAACACTTTGCTAAATCAACACTTTTTTTGTGTGCACAAGTCATCGTTTTTTTTTTTTTTTAATTTAGAAGAAAAATATTATCAGCAAAATAGAGATCTTCAAGTTTTGTGTTCTCCACCCAAACAATGCCAATGTGTCCATCACGCAGCAGTCGCATTATTGAAACGCCAAATAAAAATAATAACCACAACAATAACAAATGCAGTGCGTGATAGTAAAAAAGGTAAAGTCGGGAGATGTGAACCAGCGTCATTGCACAAGGTTATAAACCATAAGTGCTCTGCCACCAGTACGGACAGCTGATAAGAAACTGTCCGCCAGTGTTGCAGTCCGCACGAAACTCCGTAGCTACAGCGACGTTCCTCCATTTTCCCCAAAGTGTTAACTATGGTACCCATTTCCTAGATGCTGGGTGAACCCCGGCAACAGCCCGGTTTCGAACACCGACCATATGCTGCAGCGATTCGCAGCTGGATTTGCTAATGTCAACGTCTGTGGCTTTGGCGTTGCAAACACGCTTCGTAATGCTGGAGTGCCGGGTTCGATTTCACGTGTAGACGATTTGTCGTGAGTCAACTTCGACAGTGATAGGGAGAGCTTACTGTTGAGAAAGCAATGGCAAACTACTGAACGTAACATTTGAAGAGAAAGACCACTACAGCCAAAAAACGTTGGGTTTGGTTATGCAACGTCCTGTAGAGGATACGCAACTAACTTTTCAATAGTAATAATAATAAACGTTGATGAATTACAAATACATATAATAAAGTATATGATATAAAATGAACTGCTTTAACAGATACAGCAGAAAGGTACTTGGATGCATAAATTAAGGAAAAGTTTTAGTCGTCTTAACATTGTGTAGAGGAGGTTTCGTGTTGTGACCCTCTTGATGATATCAATCTTGTCATCCCCTTGTGGGATGCAATTTTTCGTTTTTTGAAGCCCTACTCTGGCTCTTGCCAGGGGCCGCAATATAGCCCGGCCATAATATGGTCTAATGGCTGAACGCGGTTTCTGGCACCTCTCCACGGGTGATCCTCATGCACATGGTGGCACTTTGTGTCATCAGGTGTTTATCGCTTGTGTGATGTCCTAGTGGGGTAAAAGTTTACTACTACTACTACTACTACTACTACTACTACTACTACTACTACTACTACTACTACTACTACTACTACTATTACTACCACCACTACTACTACTACTACTACTACTACTACTACTACTACTACTACAACTACTACTATTACTACTATTACTACTACTACTACTACTACTACTACTACTACTACTACTACTACTACTACTACTACTACTACTACTACTACTACTACTACTACCCTCTTGACTGTTAGTAAGCTACTTAAAGTAAAAGGTAGATTCCGTACTTACTGTACATAGAATACCTAAATTCTATTGTCGCATTCTCCCCGTATGTCCCCTCGTGTACCACTGACCTCCTCCTTCGTTCCTGCTCGCTTGTGTCCTGTCCCCCGCTGCCAGTCATAATTCCGAGGCCCTCTATACTGGCGCCAGGCAGGTTTTCAATGACCGGAAGTACCTGCAGATCTAAGGATGTAGGAACATTCCTTTCATTAACAAACATTTAACAATTTTTTTTTAGGAATTACAGTGGAACCCTGTAATAGGAATTTAATCCGTTTCACTACTAGACTTGTATAGTGAGTAACACGTATCCAGAAATTTGCCCTCTTTAGAATTAATGTGGAGAATATTAATTTGTTCAGGTCCTCTGAGACCAGACATGTTTTCCGTTACCTACAGATCTGCGGATGCAACAATATTCCTTTCTTTAACAAACAACACAAAACAATTAGCAAATATTTTATATATATATATATATATATATATATATATATATATATATATATATATATATATATATATATATGAAAAAGAAAAGGAAATAATAATCTGAGGGAAGAATGGTAACAGAAGAAGAACAGATAAAAGGATGACCTTCTGACTTCAAGACAGGGAAGGGATTAATGAAATGGCGAGATCTTACAGGATAGAGACCGCAGAAGGTATCTGGAGCCCAGGCAGTGGTAGGCAGAATGTACCACAACAAATGCTAAGGCTAAAGTAGAGCTAAAACCACTACGAGCTAATTAAATCAATAGGAACCAGTAAATTTTAACATAACTACCTCTTTTATTACTTGCAAATAAAACCGTTATACCTACTACACTTCTTCTTCTTCTTCGCGTTCACCAGCTGTACACTCTGGTGTAAAGTTCTGGTTGTTCGTCCACTTCTGGACTGCAGTCCTGCTCCAGAACCTGAGTGTTGCATGTGCATCAGTTTTACAAATCTGATTCAATTGAATGCACACTGCTGGTTCCTTGCCTCTCAGGCAGATGCACTCCGACTTCAAAGGAAGCTCCCCAGTTAATCGACTCTTACGACATGCTTTTGGGGAGGCAGTGGGTCTATTCTTGTTTTCCCCACAATAGGGCCCCGGAACCCACACGGGGGACCTACTACACTGTCTGTACAATATAATAATGCCAGAGTAATGGGAAAAAAATGATGGACCTCCAAGAACAGGAGTAATCAAGCGAACAAACTCTTCAACAAAAATTTCAATACCCAAGAGTCAGTTGCTAGTCACAACAACTTATCTCATAGGCAACCAACAAATGTAACCCTATTATAAAACAACTAACACATATAAGCTGACATAAAAGCCTGACATAAACATATGACTGGAGACATTTATCCTGCAGTGTTGTACTTTGCCTTACAGTGAGGACCTTAAGACCAAGACCAAACACTATCTGTCTGCTACTCTTAAGCTGAATCCACTTCTTGCTCCTGTGGTTTTTACCATACCCTGAACTGGATGCTAACCAGGTACTCCACCATGCAAATGGATGTACCGCGACCATCGGAGGGAGAAGACGTCTTACTGTTGTGTGCAGTCTGAAGATTCACACTATTGACGACCGCTAATGAACATGAGATGTAACTAGAGACATGACGTCACTTACCGACAGAAGAACTGGACAGAGGACAGTTACAAGAAATGTAGGAATGGCACAGGCTTATATTGATATGTTCCTGAGGCCGCAGTTCGCGGGAAGGCAAAGTCTCTGAGCTCCATGTTGGATGAAAGGAATGAACCTACCGTCGTTGGCTACAGTGATCGTAACATATTCATTTCATGCACACACATTATTTCCGTAGAGAATTGTTGAATAAACGTATTGATTTTGCCTGTCAAACGACGTGTTCTCAAATGTTAAAGTTTCGACAGTTGACCTTGTTGGTGGCGTTTTTCTGCTTGTCTTTGGGTTTAGCATTTGTTACCTCTAGAGTAATAAGTGACTTAGACTTAGTACGGCAATGACCTGGGACGATATTTAAACGGAATAATTGCCGTACAGTATGAGATAATAACGCCGTACACTTACTTCTCTTTTGATATCGGATACCCATTACCTGTTACCCCATCCTAAGTCTGAGGTATACATGCAATTACTGGCACCTAACTTGTATTCTGATTGCGGATACCCATAGCCTGTTATCCCATCCTAAGACCTAGGTATATATGCAATTATTGGCGCCCAAGTTCTCTTTTGATAGCCAATACCCATAACCTGTAAGCCGATCCTAAGACCTAGGTATGCTTGCAATTACTGGCACCTAACTTGTATTCTGATTGCTGATACCCATAGCCTGTTACCCCATCTTGAGTTTGAGGTAAACATGCAATTACTGGCACTTAACTTGTATTCTGATTGCGGATACCCATTACCTGTTACCCCATCTTAAGTCTGAGGTAAACATGCAATTACTGGCACCTAACTTGTATTCTGATTGCGGATAACCATAACCTGTAAGCCAATCCTAAGACCTAGGTATGCATGCAATTACTGGCACTTAACTTCTCTTTTGATAGCAGATACTCATAACCTTTTACCCCATCATAAGTCATAGGTATACATGCAATTACTGGCATCTAACTTCTCTTTTGATAGCAGATACCTATAACCTGTTACCCAATTCTAAGAATACTTACAATTACTGGCGCCTAACTTCTCATTTGATAGCGGATACCCATAACCTGTTACCCCATCCTAAGTCCTAGGTATACATGCAATCTCTGGCACCTAACTTCTCTTTTGATAGCGGATACCTATAACCTGCTACCCCATCCTGTCCTAGGTATGCATGCAATCTCTGGCACCTAACTTCTCTTTTGATAGCGGATACCCATAACCTGTTACCCCATTCTAAGTATACTTACAATTACCGGCACCTAACTTCTTATTTGATAGCAGATACCCATAACCTGTTACCCCATCCTAAGTCCTAGGTATACATGCAATCTCTGGCACCTAACTTCTCTTTTGATAACGGATACCTATAACCTGCTACCCTATCCTAGGTCTACTTACAATTACTGGGCGTGCAAGAGAAATCCGTCTGATACTCGTCCTCCGTGGCCACCTCGATGTCGTCACCCTGGTAAGGCTGCTCCACATACCAGGGAAATCTCTGGCCAGGCTTGCAGCCGCAGGTGTATCCTCCACGCTTGAACCCATAGCCGGCTTTATGTTTGCACTAGTAGAACAAGTCCATATACATAGTCCTTTTAGCATCATTATCAGAAAAATATTGGTTTTCGTCAGCTAAGTCTACTTAAGGTATCTGGTGTGTGTGTGCGTGTGTGTGTGTGTGTGTGTGCTCGCGCGCGCATGTGTGTGTGTGTGTGTGTGTGTGTGTGTGTGTGTGTGTGTGTGTGTGAGTACATACATAAGTACGATGATCAGTTGATGGAACAGATTTTATGAATTATAAAGAATATTTATTGCCAGCAAACAACAGTTATAAGAATTAATAACTATTTGGGAACATTTCAGAGCATATAGTATATAATATCACCTGATTTTTTTTTCGGTTTATTATTGTGTGGTTTTACAGAAGAATGCTTAAAACACTATGTACAGCCCCCCCCCCTCCCCCACGACCTCCTCCCCCCCCCCCAAAAAAAAGCAAACAAAAGGTTTTGAAAGAGACGGGAGCCCGAAGACAACTTATCGCTGACATCAGAAGGAGTCATCATTTTTCGGCCATATTATGAGAAGAGGCAAAAGGAAACATGTTGTGACCACTGGATAGATCTGTGGAAGGAAGGAGTTATATATATATATATATATATATATCTATATATATATATATATATATATATATATATATATATATATATATATATATATATATATATGTATATATATATATATATATATATATATATATATATATATATATATATATATATATATGATGCGCCACCAGGGTCTAGCGGCTAGACATTGGCCTGCGGATCGGAAAGTTGGGAGTTCGGTTCCTGACGTAGGCCAGACTTTTTTTTTTCAAAAATGGCCTTGGTTTCTAGGTCGACCCAGCCTTGACTGGGTGCCAGGTGCATACCTGGGAGGTAAAGGCCGCCAGTGTCATGCTGACAACATCACCCCCCTCCCCAAGTGCCGTTAGGTCTATAAAATATAGGTCTAGCCCTATATGCCAATTACGCATGAAAGACCTGGAAAAGGGTCATTTACTTATATCTCTATGTATAGTGTATCTATGATCGGTTACAGGTGATGCGGTCCAAGGCAGGGTTAAAACTGATCATGGGTTTAATTGTCTATTACTAGTTAGTCATGCTTAGTTGCAGCATTGTATTGTATGCTGTATGTTTCGTTGCTTTTGTTGGTTGATACATGTCTTGTTATCCCATAAACAAACAGAAGCAAGGAACAGTAGAAATATAACAATAAGATCAAGTATAAGAACACAATTTCTAATCTTTACTTTGTCTTTTAATTTTGCAGTTTAGCTCTTTCATTTAAGGGTAATTCTGTCTATCCCATAGTTATGGTAAATTAGAGCAACAGTTTGTGGATAAAGTCTTGTGTGATTGTAGATTATACATTTTGTACGTGAAAATATTGAAACATCTTAGAAACAATATGTCAATATAACATTAGAATGTTACAGAATAAGTAAAGCACTGCGTACCAATTGTCTTATTGTTTTTCCTGTTCTTGCTTTAACAAAAAAAAAAAAAGAATAATAAAATTGTGTGCTTCTTGTTCAGCATTGCGAACTCTTGAGGTTCATTACTGCAGATATCACACACTTCTCTGTCAGGTCTGTGGTGAACTTCTCTTCCCCGTCGTTGAAATCTGACTGACCCACGTTCAATACCATCAGGACATCACACCGAGCGATCAACACCCGGTGACACAGAGTGCCACTGTCGGATCACCCAGGGACAGGTCCCAGAAACCCCGTTCATCCCATAGGTTGGGTTATATTACGGCCCCCGACAACAGATGCGGTGGTGCTTTAAAACAACAATAAAATTGTGTCCCACATTGGGATGGTCTTTTGTGATAATTGTTGAATTCAAATGTTTGTAGGTCTGCATTCATATTATTTCCTCATCATTTTCTTGGTCTGCCTAGTAATCTGCTCCCATTCATCTCTTTTGTATACGCAACTTTTTATTTCTTTCTATTCTCTCTAAAGAGTTA